AATAGAATCAGGGGCATAGAAAGGGAGTGGACTGACAGTTCTCGGGGGAAAGGGGGTGTGGGGGGTGCGTGAAGAGACTGGACAAAAATCTTACACCTATGGACGAGGACAGTGGGGGGTAAGGGCAGGGGGTAGGGTGGGAACCGGATGGAGGGCAGCTATGGGGGGAAAAAGAGGAACAACTGTAATAACCCGAACAATAAAGATTTATTTTTAAAAAAATAATGAATCTAGTCAAGATCAGTAAATGCTAAAACCATTAGGTGAAAAGTTGATGGGGGACTTTATAATGGAAAGATACAACCAGTAACATCTGAATCCACTGATCAGTATTTATAATCCATTTTGTGCCTCCTATTTGATTTATAGGTACACTGTATTACCTATGATGGATTCTAGCCCCTTTTCAAAGAACAATACAAAAGCAAAAACTTTAATCAAGCATTTAGATCTAATCAATGGGTATAAAGAAACAAATTAAATGACACCACAAGAAACAATCAATTAAATCCAGAATAGAGGGTATGTTATAAGATAACCTGTTTTTCTCACAAATAAATGACATGACAGGAAAACGCTTAAAACAGAAACCAACCAAATGCAAGACTTGTGGACCTTGTTTGGATATTGATTTTAACTGTAAAAGGATTTTTTTTAAGACTGAGGAAGTTGCCCTAACTGGTTTGGCTCAGTGGATAGAGCATCAGCCTTCGGACTGAAGGGTCCCAGGTTCCGGTCAAGGGCATGTACCTTGGTTGTGGGCACATCCCCAGTAGGGGGTGTGCAGAAGGCAACTGACCCATGTTTCTCTTTCATCGATGTTTCTAATTCTCTATCCCCCTCCCTTCCTCTCTGTAAAAAATAAAATATATATATAAAAAAAGACTGAGGAAGTTTTCAGATGGACTGAGTTATTACAACATTTTTTGTTAATTTTTCAGGTGTGATAATGGCATTGAGGTTATGTAAATTACTTCCAAGCGAAATAATAAATTGTCTGGGATTTGCTATAACCATTTCTTCCTGCAAAAAAATATGGGAAGAAAAAATAGATAAAATAAGTAGGAAAGTGTTGATTTTTGTTGAAGTTTGGTGATGGGTACATGAAGTGTAGTCATTAGACTACTCTCTCTGTTTTACACATATTTTAACATTTCCATAATAAAAGTGTGGTGTGTGTGTTTGTTTGTTTTTTTAAAAAAAAGATAGTATGCTCAAAGACCTTGCATGTATCTATAAGATAGGGCCTCACTTAGTATGTATAGTGTTGTCTTACAATGAGATACAATTCTAACAAGTTGGCTTAAGTACCAGTTGTATGGGAGAAAACAGAATGATGCTAAAGACAGTATCCTTATAGAAATTAAAAGGTTTAACTGGTATCATTAGATAACATTGAAAACTCTTAACATGTAGACAAAAGCTATCAAGGCATTAGGGGGCCACTTGGTGGTGGTAAGTAGACCCCTCCACCTGTTTTCCTGCCAGCGGGCATTCCCCTCAAGGTGTACCCATCCGTGCCCCGCACCTGGACAAGACGGGGCCCAAGGCGCCTTGGAGACCCTCCTTGGTTTCTTTTCTCAAGGGCTGTAGTGTCCATTGGCCAAAGCTGTCTCCTGGGGGACTGCTTTTGTTCAAGGATCCGTGAGAGATAGTCCCAAGTTCTAACACCATATTTCACTATGCATTGCAACTTTTTTATTTTCCTTATCGTGATTTATTATTTTTCTATATTTCTTTGAAATTTGCCCATTTTAATTCATGTTCATTTCTCGCTCTGTGTTTGTGTCACGCTTGCTGTCTTTGCCTCCGTTGTTCCTAGGTTACAGTATAGCCAGGACATACCCAGTCACTTGGCCGATGAGCATGCGTTGATAGCCTCCTATGTGGCCCGTCTTCAGCACTGTGCACGGTCAGTGGGAGGGCAGCAGCAGCAGGCGGGTATCCAAGGGCTGAGCAAAGGGAGGGAGAGCTATGGGACCTGGGGTTGTCAGCTAGAAGAAGCTCTGCATATGGGGTTTTTCTTGAGGAGCTACCAGCTATGTTGGGCAGAGTTTGGGTAATTTCCAAAGCATTCTTGGAAAGAAGCATTCTTGGAAAGAAGGAGCCTTGCCACGCCTAGGTACCTACCTAACCATAGAGTCAGAAATTCTCCTTGAAAGTGGAACCCACTTCCTTCAGATTATATTATACTTAAAGAGTGTATACTCAGAGATATGCAGTCCCAAAGATGTACACTCACAGAGGTATTTGATGCAACCTCTTACTGTTCATTCTTGCCTAAACAATGGAATCTTTCTGTTGATATTCAAAGCTTAGGGTTGATCAACCCACAGATATCTCACTTTGTCTAATCTTTCATACCATCACCCTGTTACAACTTTACATGTTACATCTTCATCTCTTCCCCAAGATCTATCATTGTTGATTATTTAAACCAGGGGTTTTCAACAGTGGTATTAGATCATTGACACCTAAGGGACTTTTTCCAAATGATAATACACCTCCTCATAACATAATAATTATTTATACTGTAGTAGCCCCACATACCCCTTTCCCTGAAAACTACTCTGGTAGTGACCCCTTGTTAATATGGAAATAGGACTGATCCCTCCATGGGTTAGGATGGAAAAACGTTTGATAGCCACTAACTACAGCAGAGTTCACATTTTGAAAGAATTAACACCAAACCAGGTGCTATTACATTCAGGCAGACCCAGAGCTACCTGCCCGATCCATGCCCACGCCCACCACCACTCTGCAAGGAGAATGCAGGAAAAGTTTACATAATCTAACTCCCTTCCAGCCCCTCTACATGCAGCAAAGGAGAGTCGCTGTGCCAGACAACTCAAGATTCTTATTCTTAGAGAAAATAAAACCCATAATCTATAAACTAAGCACATAAGAGAGGCTGGACCTTACCTTTTGATCTTAGTTTTGCCTGTAGCATGCCATGGTTTCAGGGGCAGGTCATTTTTATTTCCATGATAACAGAAACATAAATTAATAATGAGAAAAATAATTTAAAAGGACTCTTTTTAATATTACATTATTATGCTTTATACCATTATACTTTATACCATTCCCCATAGTTTTCCCCGTATGACTAAATGGCATTGCTGTTTTTAGGCATTTACCTGTCTCTAAAGCCTTAAAGAGACTGTAGGGTTCCCCTGCTTCCCACGTATGTGTGATAGGCTTATCCTAGGGGAGAGAGGAAGGCCTGACCTTTGAGCATTGTATCACAGTCTGCTCATCCAGCAGATGACTCCTGTGCACTCTGCCCCAGCCCCGGGGTCTGTAGGAATGGAGTTGTCTCACCCATGGCAGGAAGCTCACTGAATCCCAGTCAGGGCAGTTGTCCGGGTGATTAAAAGTTTCCATGGTGAAAGTAGCAACAGCATCTTGGACAGCAACTGCCCCCTGATATTTCAGCCCAAGAAGTTTTATGGTAGGTTTAGTCAAAGTCCTCAAGTCTTTGGCTTAGCGATAAGGCTCCCTGCTCAAGAATTGGTGGCGGGAACTCTGGGAGAACATGAAGATTGGGTGAGTATTACATCTCGTCTTGATTTATAGTCTGAGGAATTGAGCTTCCTACTTCCACGAAGAAATAAGAAATTTCCTGGCTAATTCTGAAAACGAAAGCCAGTTCAAGCAGGAGAATAGGGAATCTTTCTAATTTTTCTTGACCTTAAAGCCTCTCATCAACACAACATTCTAGTTTCTGGTTGGAAAACAAAGCCAATGAAAGCAACCATGTTGTCTGCACTTGGGGATAAATGACTAAGCGGATTAGCCTTCCCTGGGAGATGGACTGGAATGGAGAAGGAGCTCTTTTGCACAGAAGAACCTATTGTGTCCTCTGCCAGACTTCTTAGGCTGCCAGTCCCTCCATAATATTATCTGCTTTGTTGTTAAATGTTCATTTCTATTGTTGTTTTTTTTAAAAAGATAAAGATAGTTCTCTTTTTTTCAGACAAACACCTTTAAGGCACAAATATATTTCAGCCCAGACCTTGCAGCCTTGACTGTGACCTATTAAAGTTAACTGGTGGTAGCATGCTCTTATTATAAGATCATCTTTTGAGAGGATGATTTCATGTGCTGGAAACTGACATTTGCACACCTAAAATTATAAAGTGTTCAGAAGTGTCATAGGCAGAAGACTTTAAAGCACATTTTTAAAACATTCATCCTAGAGCAGTGGTCGGCAAACTGTGGCTCTCGAGCCACATGCGGCTCTTTGGCCCCTTGAGTGTGGCTCTTCCACAAAATGCCACGTGCGGGCGTGCACATACAGTGCGATTGAAACTTCGTGGCCCATGCGCAGAAGTCGGTATTTTGTGGAAGAGCCACACTCGGGGAAAGACTAAACTTAAAGAATTAGCCACAGAGGTAGAAATATAGAAAGGTGGGAAAAAATCCAGGAAAAATACAGCTGATTGTGCACGTGAAAAGGCCAGATGGATCCTTGTTAATTTAATTTCACCCTTCCCAGATTCCCCTCAGTAACTATAACAAGATTTGATGAGTATTAAGCTCATGTCTTTAAATTTTTTCATATTATTTGTCATATTGCTTAATTCCAATCAAGGGCTTTCAGAACTCCAAGAACCTAGGACCAAAGTAAAAGCAAGCCACAACAGCCATCTCTGGTCAGTCATCATCATCTCTGTTATCTTAAAGGTTCTGCCAGACTTAAAGAGAATTCTATAGCCACAGTCCTTATTAATCTAGGAGTGCCCTGATATGAACAAAGGACAGTTGATGTAAAATACTGAGTAATGGAGGCAATTATTTCATGTAAAGTTCATTGCATCACATAGAGCTGGCATACTACACAAGAACCCTTTTTTCATCCAGGTGTGGCATTACCTGATATCCCACCAACGTGGGTCTTTAAATTTTTAGAGTGCTAGAACTCTTGTTAAAGAGTAATGGAACTAAATTACTTCACTCTAAGATGGGGCTATATTTGTGGAACAAGCATGGTAAAAAGAAGAGGAAGAGGCATTGAAAGAAAATGTTTGATACCATGTGATCCCCAAATTTACTGTAAACTGGGCCTGCCCAAGCCTAGATGCCTCAGCCAATATTAATTTTCCTCAGCCCTGTTTTTCATGATGCTTGGTCTTTTTGAATTCAAGACCTATGTCTAAAAGTTAGGAGTTTTAAAAAATATTTGATTAGAAATCCCTCTCTCTGACTTTGGAAATGCCCGGTCTTTTCTCAGTCCTTGTATAAAAAAAGAAATGCCCTTCTGGTGGTGTAAGAGGGTTGGGATGTGCTGGTGAAGAGAAATGACACACGTGGCCTTATTTCTCTAAATCCCCTTTGTGTCAGAAGACCAATGGTATCTATGGCCCAGGCCTCTGTTTCTTTTGTTACCATTCTTTTTTTTTTACAAGCTTATTTCCCATCTGTCTTTCTAAGAGGAGCAAGAGTAGGGGATGTTTACTAGACACTTGTTGAATGTTTATCTCCTTGGCAGTGTCCTGGACAGTCCCAGCCGACTGGATGAGGAGCACCGGCTTATAGCTCGCTATGCTGCCCGGCTGGCTGCAGAGGCAGGGAACATGGTGAGTAATCAGAGGATCCCCATAGATAGCAAAAGTTAGCATGACTTTAATATACAAGTGCTGGGGGAACAGTAAACATGAAACTCAGGAGAGCAAGAACCTCAGGGACAGGAGAGGAATGGGTTTAGAAAGGGGATTACAGTGGCTTTAATTTTATCTATAATATTCCATTTCTTAAAAAAATGAATTGAGAACAGAGAAAGTGTCAATTTGGTTCTTAAAAAGATCAATAAAATTAATAAATCCCTAGAAATCCTGATCGAGAAAAAAAGAAAGAAAACACAAATTACCAATATCAAAAATGTAAAAGAGACATCACTACAGATCCTACAGCCATTTTAAGGATGCTAAAGGAATATTCTGAGCAATTTTTTGCCAATGAATTTGATAGCCTAGGTGAAATAGACAAAATCCTTAAAAGATAAACCAACAAAACTGACATAAAAATAAATAGAAAATCTAAATAGTCTTAAACCTGTTAAAGAAATTGTATTGATAACTGACTTCACACAAGGAAAACTTCAAGCTCTGATGGCTTAACTGTTAAATATTATCATATTCTTAAAGAAGAAAGTCTAGCAATCTGACATAAAGCTGGCATACTACACAAGAACCCTATTTTCTAATATAAAATAGAGGAAGAAGGAACACTTCCAAGTCATTTCATCAGGCCCCTATAAACTGATGCCACAAGAATACAAGGCAATCAAATGCAAAGAAAATTGATCGCAAATTCCCTTACGAACATGGATGAAAAAAAACCTTAACAAAATATTAGCAAATTGAATTCAGCAATATGCAAACACGATAATACTCCATGATCAAGTGAGATTTGTTTTAGGAATACAAATATATTAATACACAAAATCAACCATATTAGCAGTTTAAAGAAGAAAATTATAAGATCATTTCAATAGATGCAGAAAAAGCATGTGACAAAATATAATACCCATTTATGATAGTAAAACTTCTCAATACACAAGGAGTAGAAGAAACTTTCTCAATCTGATAAAGAATACCTACAAAAAACATATAACTAATATTATACTTAAAGATTAAATTTTGGGATACTTCCCCTACCTAATATTCAGAACAAGACAAAGATGTCCCCTTTCACCACCCCTATTCAAAGTTGTACCAGAGGTCCTAGCCAGTGCAACATCACAAGAAGAAAGGAGCAGAAATATTGGAAAGGAAGAAGTAAAACTGTTATTATTTGCAGATGACATGACTATATAGAAAGTTCTAAAGAATCTACAAAAACACTACGAGAACAAATTTGTGACTTCATAGCAATGTTGCAAGATATACAAAGTCAATATAAAAATTTTGATTATTTCTATCTACCTGCAGTGAACATTTAGACAATTAGATTTAGGAAAAATATCATTTACTATAACATTAAAAAACATCAAATACAAGCAGGGAGTGAGATGAAAGGAGGGATGATCTGAAGCCAAAATGACAGGCTGTGTAAGCATTGTCCACGTAAAGGAAATGTAATGTGTGCCCACTGGGTGTTTCAACATGTGTAAAGGCCCTGAGGTTGGAGACTTCACAGAGAACAATACTGAAGTGAAATTAGGCTGGGCAGGCAGGCCAGATCTCTCAGGACCGCATTCTGCAAACACAGTATATTAATTACAGAAATGTGTACCAATTTATATTTACATTTCATAGGAAGGTAGAGTTATGAAAGCTGCCAGTAGAGAGTCTTGCTTTGTTTCTCCCTCTCAAAAAGTAACTTATTCCTTTGGGTTTGTTTAGAATTCAAAATCTTTTCTTTGAAAATCTGATATTAGGTCATGCCTCAGACTGTAACATTACAGCTCTAAAGGTTAGTGAAATAGAACGGAATAGGGAAAAAACATCTGGGGAAAAAGCATAGTTCCATTTCATCAGTTAAACCTCACGCATACCCTCAGTCAGTCACAACTGTTCAAGCTATTTTAGCAATTAAAATTTATACGTAAAATCAATTGAATTTGTTGAGAGGGACAGCGTTGTGGTTGAATTTTTAAAATTAAGTATACTTAATGCCGTTATATAGTCCTGTTGACTTTACAATAGTATTTTTTTTAATGCTGTAAATTAAAGCTCCGAAGCCATTTGACCCTCAAAAGGAGATTGCAGTTCTCCTGCACGGCAAACAAGATAAGTCTGTTTACACCTGATAGTTTCTGATACCAATTCTTATTCGTGTGAAAATGAGAATTGTTAGAATGGGCTTGAGACTAAATACCGATATGGTCCCTTTCATCTTCAGTTTATTTTTCAAAGTGTAGCTGTCTTATAAATATTGGACTCTCAGCAAGGATTCTTCTTGACTAGACTTCTGTTAAACAGACTTCTAATCTGCTAATCTCTCCCTGATACAGGTGCTTTGCATAAAGTGGGTGTAGCGCTCAGAAGAATTTATTTATAGCCTGCCAGATAGGCTTTGTATTGATTTTTTTCCCCAAAAACCTTCTTCCACAAAGAAAGACCATTAAATCATGTTAGCAGTCGGCATTACACCCTGAGGAGTGCCTCAGCATCGAGCCCTCATGTCTCCCCGGGTGGCACACCTGGCCACTGACACCTCCACACTCGCCCTGGAATAAAGAAATTCTAGCTCCAGGAGAACTGATTTGTTTTTCTGAAGTGCCTAAATGCCTTTAAAAAACAAAACTACAGTGTGTGGTAAATCATAATAATAACTGCAAATTCTTAAAAGTTTTATCACAAATGTCACCAGCATTAGATATAATGAGATGTTTTGGGTTTGCTTTGAAAGTCGTTTTTCTTTATGAAAAAAGTAAAAACTCATAAAGGAAAAGTTGGGAGAAAGGTGAAAGGAAGGGGAAATCGTGTAGTTTCATTCCACCGAACTTGGGCACCGTTTTGAGAAGCTTTTTCTCAGGAGCCGCATCCTGGCCCTCACACCCTCCTCATGTGTCAGCATGCGCCATGCCGGAGGTCTCCCGGTGGCTTCTTAGAGTTAAAGAGCCATGGTGTCCAGGTGGTGTCTTGCTCACATTTAATGACTCAAAATGCCCCATAAAATAATAATTGTCAAACCTGGCTACATATCATCATGTGAAGCATTTTAAAAATATATAGATCCTTGACTTTGCCACAGACCTACTGAATCAGAATCTCTGGGTTTGGGGGAATCTCTTGATTTTTATGTTAAAAAAGAAAAAATTTCCCATCTTCTTATTCACAACTAGCTTTGTAACCACTACCCTAAAAAGCATTATTGGGTTTTTGAGAGACAAGAGAGATATTATTAATCCACATCCCTCCAGTTAGTCTAAGTGGGGTGGGGACAATGGCAGGACTTACCCTGGGATACAAGGAAGTCCAGTTAATCTCAGGCACATCTCTGTGGAACTCACCCAGGCCAGTCTATTTTTAGGAGCTGCAGACATGCACGTTACCAGATTGCAGTTTGCTGGCTGTCGGCTCTCCTTGGTTGTATAACATTTGTCCAGTTTTACTCACAGGGGTCTTGTTTCTTATCCTGTATCTTCCAGAGGTATCTCCATCTCATTAAAGATGATGGAGCTCTGTGAGATGACCTAAACCCAAGGGAATGATAACGTAACAGAGGAAGTGATCCTCTTCGCTGTCTTTTTGTAAATATTCCCACTCTACAGGCAGGAAAATAAAGGTATAGTAAAACAAAATAACTCGAGGTTAGCATGGCAAGTAACCTAGGATTCCTAACTAGTGTGCCTACTTCCATTCTTACCCACTTCAGTCAATTCTCCACTTGGTAGCCAGAGCAGTGTTGTTTGTAATAAACTTTTATGATAGAACAGTTTTAAATTTACAGAAAAATTACGAAGCTGGGACTGAGGATTTCCATATAGCCTCTATCAGTTTCCCCCATTAGTAACATCTTCCATTAGTATGGAATGTTGGTTGTAATTACTGAGCCAGTAGCAATACATTATTATTAACTAAAGGCCATACTTTATTTAGGTCCTGTTAGTTTTTTACCGAATGCCTTTTTCTGTTTCGGGATCTCATCCAGGACACCAGTTTGTGTTTAGTTGTCATGCCTCCTTGGTTCCTCTGGGCTGCGACAGTTTCTCTGACTGCCCTTGTGTTCTGATGACCTTGACGGTTTTGAGGAACTCTAGTCAAGTATTGTAGAAGGTCCCTTCGTTGGGATTAGTCTGAAGTCTTTCTCCTGATTAGACTGGGACTGTAGGTTTTGAGGAAGAAGGTAAGTGCCTTTTTCTAACATCAGATCAAGGGTTCGTAGCATTGAAATTATTTATCACTGTCGCTGTTGACCTTGTTCGTCAGCGTTTTCCAACATAAAGTTTCTCTTTCCCCCCTTTCCACCTGTCCTCTCTGAAAGGAAGTCACTATGGACAGGCCACACAGGCGTTAGGCTCACCTCATTGAGCGTAGAGTATGTTCATGCATTATTTGGAATTGATATATTTTTCAGAATCCTATGGTGGATTCAGAAAACCACGCGGGAGCAGCAGCAAGCCTCCGCCTTTGCCCTTCTTTCTGCCCAGCTGGCTCGTCCCCCTGACCTTCCCCTGGTCCCTCTGACCTTCCCCTGATCCCCCTGACCTTCCTCTGGTCCCCCTGACCTTCCCCTGGTCCCCCTGACCTTCCCCTGGTCCCTCTGACCTTCCCCTGGTTCGATTCCCCATCTCATTGAGTCTGAGAGCAGTTTCACAACCACCTCATTTAAAAAGAGTCTGTGTCAGCTCACTGTTGCATTACCCTGTATTTCTTCATTGCATTTACCACAACAGATCATACATACTTGGTTTGTTTCTTTTTTTATCCCCTAATGCATCCCTGGTTTTTAGAACAGTATCTAGCACATAGCGAATGCTCAGGATATATTTGTTGAATAAAAGAATGAAGTATTTAATATTTGAAGGAAATCATCTTTAGATCTCTTCTTGCCGAAGTAGTCTGTGTCTTTATGATCTAATAATTCCCTTTCTGGCTTTTTCTCTTCACTGTCCTGGAGGCATTTTAGGAGAAAGGATAACCTGGCTTTTTAAATTTTTTTATTTTATTTTTAAAAATATTTTTATTGTTGATAGTATTACAGATATCTCCCATTTCCCCTCCCCTTTTATTTTTTAAAGGAGCAGCATGGTGTTTAGGATAGTAAATAAATAAAATTCTAAGTTTATCTGTTATTTAATGCACTTGACTGTGTATAAAATCTGGCCGGGTAAATAAGCCAGCAGTGGACACTCACCACCAGGGCTCTCCCCCCAGGTGGGACCGCTGCCTCGGGATTTGAGTCTTCCTCCAGCCCCCGCCCCCAGCCCCCTGTGTCTTTGTATTTGAGTAACACTTGGTGCCAAAGATTCCTGCCTGTTAGGAGTCACTATTGATGGTAACGCTTGATTTCTGTATTAACCTCTTCAGACACTCAAAACTGAAAAGATCCTTCAGAAGTTTCCAGTGAAATACTGTGGGGTTTTTGTATGTTTTTTTTCCCATCAGATGAAGCAAATTCCTTTCAGAGATCATTCCTCATCCATCATTCTCCCTGGCCCCACTCTAATAAGGAGCCATTAGCGGTAACTCCAGTTTTCAGAAATTGTAAACCTGTTATTCATAGCAGGTTCGGTCTCAGGCAAGCCCTTTTTCCCAGGTTCAACTCAGGCTCTCACAAGACTCTTCATAAAACATAGAAAATTTGCTGAATTGGCTGCTGGTTCACTCTTCTCTGGAGGAAGAAAAATCACCTTGTTTTTCTCTAAGAAGAAAAATATTTGGTAGTTTGGTTAAAAAGTCTCCCACCCAGGTTTGCTATGCTGCTTTGCCCTGTTTATTTAGGAAGTACCACATGAAAAGATTTACTTATTGTACTCACTGTATCTTCAAGCTTTAGAGAGGAAACCAGGTTTCTGCTTCATCGTAGGTCATGTTTTGGGCAGAACTTAAGAATGTGCAGAGTGAAGCGTAGCCATCGAAGTGCCTTCATGAGAGCTTTCCTTCTGGTTAATCAATAAAAGGGAAGCATCACCTATTCATCCGTTTTCCTAGTTTGTGTTGATTCGCTTCCATAGTCTTAAAGGGGGTCACAGGGCTAGGAACATCGGTGGACTTGGCAAATCAAAACCACAATGATTTCTCGAGAGATAATATGTAAGTGGCCAATAAAACGTAAAAGAACGCTCAACATATTAGTCATTAGGAAGGTGTAAATTGAATCCACAATGAGAGAGCATTTCATACCCACTAGGATGACTGTGATCAAAGAGAAGGGCAGGCCCCCGCTGGTTTGGTTCAGTAGGTAGGGTGTCGGCCTGCGGACTGAAGGGTCCCAGGTTCGATTCCAGCCAAGGGCACATGCCCAGGTTATGGGCTCGATCCCCAGGAGGGGGCATGCAGGAGGCAGCTGATCCATGATGCTCTCTCATCATTGATGTGTCTGTCTCTCCCTCCCTTTCTCTCTGAAATCAATAAAAAAATATTTTTTTAAAAAAGGACAATAACAAGTGTTGACAAGGACATGGGAAAAAATGGAATCCTGTTATGCTGATAGTGGGAATGTAAAATAGTGCAGCCACTTAGGAAACCAGTTTGGCAATTTTTCAAATGGCAGTTACTGTATGACCCAGCAATTCCATTCCTAGAAATATACCCAAGAGAAATGAAAATATATCTCTACACAAAAACTTGTCCACAAATGTTCATAGCAGCATTATTCAAATTAGCCAAAAAAATGGGAACAGCCCAAATATCCATCAACTGTGGAGTAAACAAGATGTGTTATATCCACATAATGGAATATTATTCGGCTGTAAAAACAAGAATGAAATACCGATACATGCTACAACATAGGTGAACCTTGAAAATATTTTGCTAAGTGAAAGAAGCCAGACATAAAAGACCACATATTATATAATTCCATTTGTATGAAATATTCAGAATAGGCTAGTCTACAGAGACAGAAGCTAGATTAGTAGTTGTCAGGTGGGGGAGGGGACAAGGGGGAGTGGCTGCTAATGAGTAGGGGGTTTCCTTGTGGGGTGATGAAAATATTCTGGAATTAGTGATGATGGTTTAATAATCGCATACATATACTTGAAACCACTGAATTGCACACTTTCAAAGGGTAGATTTTGTGGCATGTAAATTATATATCAATTCTTTCAAACCCACAGTTAGATACTTCACACCCGCCAGGATGATTAAGACCAAAAAGACAGTGACAGGTGTTGACAAGATGTTGAGAATCGAACCCTGATTCATTGTTGGTGGGCTTGTAAAATGGTGTAGCCACTTGGGAAGACAATTTGACAGTTCCTCCAAATGTTAAATATAGAGTTAAACCATGTAACTCAGGAGTTCCACTTATAGGTGCTAGCCCAAGAGAAATGAAAACATACATCAACACAAAGCCACTTCATTTAATAGCCCAAAGCTGAATCAATGAAATACTACTCAGCAATAAAAAGGTTAGGGAACTCCTAATTCATGGAACAACGTGAATGGAACTCAGAAACATCATGCTAAGTGGAAGCTAGAAGCCGACGATGACTATGGTCTATGATTCCAGGTGTATGAAGGTTCTAGGAAAAGCAAAGCTAGACCGCAGACCGATGGTTGCCTGCAGTGGGGATAGGAGTGAATGGCAGTTGACCACAAACAAGGGAAATTTTTTTGTGGTGATGGAAAATGTTCCAAAACTGGACTACGGTGATTGGTTCCACAACTATTTAAGTTTACTAAGACTCATTGAATTCATTGTACACTTTAAATGGGTGGATTCTACGGTAGGTAATATTTAACTCAAAAACCTGTTTTTTAAAAAATCAACAGTCTGTCTAGGTCTCTGGATATATTTGAATCAGAAAAAAACACACACACCAACAAACCTTTCTTTCTCCTCACTGTAGACCCGTCCTCCCACCGACTTGAGCTTTAACTTCGATGCCAACAAGCAACAAAGACAGCTTATTGCAGAACTGGAAAACAAAAACAGGTAAGAAAGCAGGGGCTGAGCCCGTTGCTGAAGTCCAAGATGGTCACGGGAGTGTCTGATTCTCGTTTTCCTTGCAGACTAGAAGGCTTTGGACCACAACGGAAGTCCCCACCTCAGGGACTATAGGCCAGCCCATGTCCAGTAAATTCCCTGGACGCTACCTTGCATATCTGCATGGCGTCCCTTGTGCTGGTCCAAAAGCCTGCTCGCCTGCCCTCGGAGATTCTTCCCAGCGCCTTCTCCCATTCATAGCTGAGTCCCCGGGGGCTCATGGTTTCTTTCTTCACTCCCAGCAGCCTTGTGCTCGATCCAGTCATCTTGTTTTGGCTGATTAGGCTGCATGTGACCGTCTGGTCTTTTAAAGGCTTGGAGACTGGACAACACACCATTATGCACTGAAAGGTAGAAACCAGGCCCAGGAGATTGGACGTAACATAACAGGCATCGGTAGAAGCAGCTGTCCATCTCTCGGGGGTCAGAGGAGGACTTGGGGGAGTTAGCACAGTCCGCTTGTCCTTTCCCTAGAGCAGTGGTCAGCAAACTCATTAGTCAACAGCCAAATATCAACAGTACTTCTTCCAAATAGACTCGCCCAGGCCGAAAACCAACTTCTGCGCATGGGCCACGAAGTTTCAATCGCACTGTACGTGCGCCCGCACGTGGTATTTTGTGGAAGAGCCACACTCAAGGGGCCAAAAAGCCGCATGTGGCTCGCGAGCCGCAGTTTGCCGACCACGGCCCTAGAGAGGGGCAGAATATTGTGGTTGTCATTTTCCTTCTGTGGAGATTTCTTCAAGCTCTTGAGTATTTTTATGGCTTTTTCTACCACAAAGGATTGTTTCCTTAAGTAATTGTCAAGTGGCACAGAATTAGGAGGGTGTCCGTTTCACATCCTGGTCATTGGGAAGCGATCAGAGTAAGACTGGTGGAGGCTGCACTACTGGAGTGAAGCCTTTCCGCAGGAGGGGGCTGTGAAGGCCTGTGTGGCATCTCCCTCTCCTGCACCCCCTCTAGAGAGATCCTGCAGGAGATTCAGCGTCTCCGCCTGGAGCACGAGCAGGCCTCCCAGCCCACCCCGGAGAAGGCCCAGCAGAACCCCACGCTGCTGGCAGAGCTGCGGCTGCTGCGGTAAGTGGGGATGCCGCGTCGGGTGACAATCTGCATGGGTGGGAGTTTATGTCCCAGGGAACCACATTAGTGAGATAGAGTCCGTTTATCAGAACAGTTAGTCATGTTAGAGCAGACACCGCGCAGTCCACTCTTTCTGTGGCTGCTTCCGATGCTTGGACGTGAAGGAGTGCATAGCATTTGGAAGCGGGTGGGATAGCTGTGAGTCCTAAATGTGTGGGGTCTGTTTAGGGACAAGTAAACCACCTGGAGGTCCAGACCTAAGAGGGAATAGGAGGTGGGGTGCTAGCGATAGGATTGAAGGTGGGGTCTGGGGCTGTGCTCTCCATAAACTACAGTAGCACACACGTGTAATTAAAACTTTTCTAACAGCCACAGTGAAAAACTAAAAGGAAGTAGATGTCATTCATCTTAATACTGTCTTTTACTTGACCTGATATAGCCAAAATATTATCATTTCCACATTTAATCGACGCTGAAAAAACAGTAATGAAATATTTTACTTTATTTTGTCCACACTAAAAATTTGAATCCTGTGTGTGTGTGTGTGTGTGTGTGTGTGTGTCACTACCAGTGCATCTCAGTGCAGACTAGCCATGTTTCAAGTGCTGAGTAGGCACGTGTGGCTCCTGGCTGCCATATTGGAGAGCCAAGGTCTAGATTGTGCAGGGCAAGAGTCAGTGATGCTAGAAATCCTATTGAGGTGATGGCATCGGATGACGAAATGAATACAGCTTTCCTTTGAGCAGGATTGCAAACTTCAGTAAACACTTTCACAGTCATTATCTTAATTGTTCCTCAAAATATTGATGTTACTGATTATCAGTCCCATTTTACAGAACAGAAAATGGAGGCTCAGACAGGTTAAGTGGCATGATCAAGGCTGCATATTAGTAAGTGATAGGCCTCAGTCCTGCACTGCATTTTCCTCACCATAGTAGATGAAATCAGGATTAATCAGGCTAAGAGACCAGTGTGTGTGACGTAAGGAGCACTTGGAGAAAGTGGGAGAAGTGAGAATAGAAAGATAGACACAAAAATTTCCAGAAAAGAATTTTCTGAATTGGGTGACTTAATAGAATATAGTATATAAACAGGAAAGTATCGAAGAGGATGGAGTTTTTTAGCTATGACAACTGGAATGGAAAAGCGAGAGACAACTGGAATGAAAAAGGAAGTGGGAAAGGGAACCATCGGAGGAGGAGAGTGTTAAGTTTCATTTTGGACATATTGAGCTAGAGTTGACGTGAAGCTGTCCTCAGGGAGCAGAGTTCTCTGAGACACAGTCCTCCTGAGCCTGTCACGCTTCTGGCACCTGCCGTCTGGTGCTGGCAGCCCCGACTACTGACCCCTATCTTCCCTGTGCAGTTTTTACACCTTTTCTCCACTATTCATTTAAACTTGGACTGGTTCTCTGTATTTCTCTAAATGAGATATTTGACTTCCTGATGAAGAATTTTTTCACTTACTTTAATAATTATACTTTTCCTCTACTTGGCCATGTATACTTTCCAGAGCACATTTACATGGTATTCTCACAATGGTAAAGCAGGCAAAATAGATACATAATTCCTTTATACATAAGGCATCAGAGGTTAAATGAGTTTACCTGCTATTCTCACAATGGTAAAGCGGGCAAAATAATTCCTTTATACATAAGGCATCAGAGGTTAAATGACTTGCTCAGCATCTCAGACACTCGTAAGTAGCAGAAGCGGGTCCAAAAGTGATGCTACCTGGCCTTAGGCCCTTTTTCCTGAGTTTCGTTTCTGATGGGCCGTTCCTCTTGGCCAGGCAAAGGAAAGACGAGCTGGAGCAGCGGATGTCGGCTCTGCAGGAGAGCAGGCGGGAGCTGATGGTTCAGCTGGAGGGGCTCATGAAGCTACTGAAGGTAAGAGCCTGCTCTCGGGCTCCTCCCGCCCCCAGCTGCCTTGTCCACCTCCCACCACAGTGCAGCTCGGCCTCCCCTGTGATGTCCATGTGGAACAGGAGGAGGCGAAAGGCTTACATGCTGCGGCCTAGTCCCAGTTTCCAGGTTAACCCTCCATAGCGGCAGTCGAATTCCGTGTAACAGTCACCTACATCAGCGTAAAGCCCGACTGTGAAAGAAAAAGTTAGTAACTGGGGCCAGGGAAATGTCCTGGAATAGTTGCTTTTATGAATGTTTACAAATGGCAGATTAGCTATGGAGAAGTGAATATTCCCCAACTGTTTGAAGTTTCTTTTAAGACAAATATTTAGATATTCCTCCTACAAATAGTAGATGTCCTTTTTTAGTGAGTATTGCAGAAGCACACCAATCTCATCAAACCAACTCTAATCAATCACTATATTGGGAAGAATAAAGTAGCATGTTAGCTCTAGGTTTGGTGAGTTAGGGCTTGAATAAATCTGGAATAATTCAGGTCTCACTATCTATTTTTGTTGAAGACTATATTACAACCCCTACACCCCAGAGCAGAGCAAGGCACGCTTGGCATGGGAGTGTCCTCACCCAGGCAGTGTTATTGGCGCTGAAAGAAGTGTTTGCCCAGCTGTGCAGCAGCGGTGCCAGACACATTCGTTCACGCTGCTCACTCCCAAGGTCTGTGCCCTGAAACCGCTGTGTTTTGTGATAGACAAAGTTAGCAGCCCGAGTGGAGATAGCAAAATGTGGAGGACCTCAAAGCAGGCTGAGGGGTGGATTTAATCCTGTGATAAGGGGAGTCTCTGAAGGTTTTGAAAAAATAGGAAACTATGCAGATGGGTGAGAAAGGGGAAAAACTAAAGGACAACAGGAGACTCGAGACCACCCAGGTCCGAAGTGACCAGGGTCCAGACCAGGTGGCAGCCCTGGGAAATCACCTGGGAACATGCCAGCTGTTCTTCAGCTCCTCCATTCTAAGCCCGTCCCTTGAGATGAAGCTGTTGGTGTTAGCAACTCAGGTAGATGCGTTTGGCTTGCTCAGGACAGTCACTTCTTTTAGTCTTGCGTTCCGTTTGCTTCTCGCTTTGATCCTGGATGTTGGGGTTGTTTTTGCCTAGACGTGTTTCTACATTATCCCTGTTGACAGGATTTCTCCTGCGAAATGTTTGAAGTCTAAATGGGTCTCGTTTCAAGAAAACCTTATGCATAAAACCTGGCCCAGATCCCTGCAATAATTGTCAGGTATGCAGCTAAGCAACCCATCAGCCACTCAGCACAGCAGAGATGTTGGCCTGTGGAACATCTGTGCCCTTGGGGGCTTTGGGAGCCCTGCCACTGGGAGGTTAGTCCACCAGTAGGTCAGGAGATAACAGCCCCGCCCCCCACACTCCTTCCCTGTGTCAAACCTCCCTTTCAGAAAGATGCTCTCAGACACCGCCCAGGCAGATGGGAAGGTGCCCAAGGCTGATCTTTTTTAAAAGGTGAAAGGGTTACACAAGCGAAGGGAAGTCAGAATGAATTTCCTCTAAGTACCACTGTGCACTTTCCCGTCAGCTAGCTGCCCTCAGGGTTCCTTACTGAGGGCTCCTGGCACAGAGCCCCACGTGCATTGCTGTGACCTTGTGTTCAGCTCTGAGGCTTGTGTTCTGGGCTAAGCAGAATGTGCTGATGCCTGGCACTCTGACCCTGCACTTCTCGCTGTTGGCTGACAGTGACAATCTCAGTAGAATAAGCGGGACCCTGCTGCCCATTGTGTAGGGTCCCCTGTCAGGTTCTTAAACACCCTATCGTTTATCCACCTGACAGGCTGAGCCGTTCAGACGGGAGGAGGAAGTTGCAGACACACCAGGGATGTTGTCTTTGTATCCACTGATGAGAATTCACAGTTGAAGTCTCATTTCTTTCGTGTCCAGCTTCCGAGAAGGATTGCAGTCTTAATTTGCGCATTATGTACACCCCTGAAAGGTCATGCGTAGGAATCACCGGCTTCTATTAAAATTTCAAAGATGTTTTCCTACTATTAAAAAATATATATTCACCAATGTGTAATAGAAGTGCCCTTTACCGTTCTAATTTTAATTTCAAAGGACCATCCAGCTTTCGTTGATGTTCAGTCTGCTGGCATTTAATTCTCTCATAAAACAGCTGTAAGCAGTTAGTCAAATGGACAGTCAAGCCCCCTGCTCTGGGATACTCATCAGTTAAAACCCACCACTCAAGCTCCCACCACACAGGGAGTTCTTCCTCCCCTTTCCTGAAATACTATGTACTTTGAAAGAAGCATGCATATGAAGCATCATCCCTGTATATGAATTAATTTAACAAAAATCTTAAATCCTTTTTATTGGGGGGGGGGGGACAAGGCTGGGTAAAAATCATACATTTATTTAATTAAAAAAGTATTGAAATCCTTAGTGTTGTGTTTAGGTATTTGGTGTTAATGGTGAATAAGACTCAATTTCTGTCACTAAGGAGTATCAGGGACCTTATTGTTTTGGTATTTTAATGACACAATGTGGAGGACACTCAGGTGCCCATGTTTCAGACTGGATCTTTCCCTTACATCCCCCCCACCCCAGTTAATGAGTATATCGGTAACCTCTGCCTCAAACTTCTGTAATCTAGAAATGGTTATGTGTTGACGTTTCCATTTCTAAATCACATTCCCAATAATTTTCTACCTCATTTTCCATTATTGCTTTTGAAACAGATGTACCAGATGAATTCTGCAGTTTTGAATTTGGAAGTGAGGTTTTGAATATAAATTTTTCTGTAGATGACTACAGTGGCTGTGGCGTTTCGCTGGCCACCCAGCCAGCCTCTCCCTGTGTGAGAGTCTCACATGTCTTAGGTGACACAACAGCTCTAGGTGTCCGCTTTATAACGAAGGTGTTATTGCCCCTTTAAATCAAGTTGGCTTCTATGCCTTGTCATCAGCCAGTGTTTACTGACACTAACTGACCCATCGATAACAGAAATGTTCTAAGACCTTATATCTGGCCTGTTTTCTGTGTTGACAGAGCCTTCAAGGCTTTATCTGAATGACTTTTGTGAGTTTAAATCATGCAACACTGTCCTAAGTAACACTTTGCCAAAGTCCACCCTCTCCCGACCCCAGTGCTCATGGGCGGCCTCTCAGTCCTGAACACACCGCCCTGTCCACCTCCCCATCCTCGCCTGACAGATTTTCATGGTTTCATGTCTTTGGACAAACTACACGCCACGGTCACCACGTGTGCACATGAAGCATTGCTTTGTGAGACTTCCCTGTTCTGCTGAACCAAAGCGACGTTTGCTCCAGTCCCAAACCTGGAGAAGCACTGAGAAGAGGGGGTGTCTTAGGAACAGTTCTAAGAAAGTACATGCTGGTCTTTTGCCCTCAGATGCAATGTCAGCCTCTAAGGCAGCGGTTCTCAACCTGTGGGTCGCGACCCCTTTGGCGGTCGAACGACCCTTTCACAGGGGTCGCCTAAGACCATCCTGCATATCAGATATTTACATGACGATTCATAACATTACAGTTATGAAGTAGCAACGAAAATAATTTTATGGTTGGGTCACAACATTGCCCCATCCCTCCCTCACCATCTCAATTTCCATTTCAACACTTAATGCCAGCAAAACTCTACATTTTAAAATTGTTTTCTAACTCTCCTAGGGCTACTTGCCTTACCCCGCCCCGCCCCAGGAAGCCTGGCTAGGAAGGGAGAGAGTTTCCTACCTGCAAAACTGGAACCCCTCCTAATTAGAGCCATGACTGCCAGGCGCAAATGCTTCAAGACCCCAGCCTCTCAGGCCGACTCGGCTCCTGCTCGGGGCCCACTCTGCCCGGCTCCTGTGCGTCTAGGTTTGGCCGGCACCTTGCAGCTGGCTTTGATTATGAGAACATCTTCCTGGGCTGAGTTGGAGATTTTTTGGTGCCCGTTTAATTTCTAGTCCACATTTTTCCCTTGCAGGAATAAAATTATTTTCTCCACATTTTTACTTACTCTCTCCCTTTTGTAATTTCTTGGCTTTACTGAAGCTCTTCTTGCCATTGCACCCAGATCTGCACACTGAGAAGCCCTCATCCTTCCCTAAGACTTCCTCCGTATGTTCAGTCAAGTCTGCTTGGCCCGACCGGTATGGCTCAGTGGTTGAGTGACAACCTATGAACCAGGAGGTCATGGTTCAATCCCTGGTCAGAGCACATGCCCGGTTGTGGGCTCAGTCCCCAGTAGGGGGCATGCAAGAGGCAGCCAATCAATGACTCTCTCTCATCATTGATGTTTTATATCTCTCTTCCTTCTTCTCTGAAATCAATAAAAATATATATATTTTTAAAAAGACTGCCTGGATGGATCCAATTTAAATAGAACCAGTGCAACAGCTTATAGATGTGTATACTTGGGCCAAAGAGCAGAGGCTCCCTGACCACAGTTACCCACCATGAGGCACAGAAAGAAAGCAAAGACATCCATTAGAAGACAGAGTGGCTGAGGAACAGTGGGCTGAGGAGAGAGGAAGGTGGAAGTGCGGATCTCTCTTTCCTGTGCGTCTTTCTATAGCGCCTGCTGGTGCATTCTGATAGGGTAGTTAACAGGTGTCTGCTCTGCGCACCATCACTGCGAGGCTGTAAAAGACAGAGACCATCTCGTGACTCCAGAGCCTTATGCGTAAGAAGTACTAAGTGAATCCTCATTGGGCTAATGAAACAGTGAGGTCTCTCAGGGCCCTACAGCAGTTCCCAGTGTCCTACGGGGATGGGGGTGCATGTGCATCTTTGAAAAAACCCAAAGCAGCCCAAAAGCACGTGGAGGGGAGGGGACTACGTTGGAGATGAATCCATGGATGTGTGGATTGCTAGCTGAGGAAGTTCTTGGAGCCGTGGTTCTCAAACTAGCAATCGTCAAATCCGTGTGCTCATTAAATACATTGTCGTGCCCCACCCCAAGACTTTTGATCCAGTTTGTCTGGCGTGGAGTCCAAAATCTGCATCTCTGACA